AAAAAAAAAAAAAAAAAAAAGGGGATTAACTGGTTTGATGGGATGATTGGTATTTGTGAGTTACTGTTTTTAGAAAATTGTATTGGTACTGTTTCCTGTATATTGACAAATTTAAACACAAATTTAAGCAAATTTAAACACAGAGTTCATGTGTATGTGAGGGGATAGGGGTGTGTGTGTGTGTGTGTGCGCGCACACACGCATGCATGCTTGTGTTTGTGTGCATGCTTGCATGTATGACTGTGTATGAGTACATTCGTGTATGTGTATGTGTGCGAGTGCATACATGCTTGTGTGTGCATGTGTGCATATGTGTGTGTGTGTAGGCCAGAGGTCAGCGTAAGACCTCTTTCCTCAGGTGTGTTTACCTTGGATTTTGAACCTGGAGATTGACAGTTAGGCTTGGCTGGCTAGTCAGCGGTTCCCCAGGGATCTGTTTGCTCTATTTCCCGAGGTCTGAGATTACAAGTATGAATGATATCTGGTGAGTTCTAAGGACCAAACTCGGGTTTTCATACATGCGCCACGAGCACTTTAGCAGCTGAGTTACCTCCCTGGCCCAGCACAGGCTCTGTGACATCTGTAAGTCACGGACCCCACTGTGTCCCAGATCAGCAGCGTGTCAGTGACAGTATGAAAGACATACTCCCTTTGCTGGGATAGTCTTTTCGTTCCCAGAGATCCCACTACAACAAGAGGGTCCTAAATGTGAATAGTAGCGCCTTCTTGATTGGGAGTACTATTACACAATGCACCAAACAAGGGCAGTCCACTCCACCAGAATCCCTAAGAGCCGTGAAAAGACAGGCAGTGACTCTTTCAAGCAGCAGGAGCAGTCATCGCTGTAGCAAAAGGAGTCTGCTCTAGCTGATCCAGTGCAGACTCTCTGCACAAGGAAATCCACGGTGTGACCCAATAAGAGAAGGAGCACAGCCGGGCGGTGGTGGCACCCGCCTTTACTCCCAGCACTCGGGAGGCAGAGGCAGGAGGATCTCTGTGAGTTCGAGGCCAGCCTGGTCTACAAGAGCTAGTTCCAGGACAGGAACCAAAGCTACAGAGAAATCCTGTCTCGAAAAACCAAAAAAGAAAAAAAAAAAAAAAAAAAAAAAAGAGAGAGAGAAGGAGCACATTGTGTTCGGGCTTCTGCTCCACCGAAAGTCGTGGCCTAAGGCTCTTTTGAGAAATTGCGTGTGTGTATGTGTGTGTGTGTGTGTGTGTGTGTGTGCATGCGTATGCGTGCGTGTGCTTGTGTACCTGTGTGCTTGTGTACCTGTACCTGTGTGCTCATGCATGTGGAGGCCAGAAGTTGATGGTCTGTCACTTTCCACTTTATTTTTTGAGATAAGACCTTTCATTGAACCTAGAACTTGTTTTGTTTTACTTTTTTTTTTTTTTAGCTAAACTGGGGCCAGAGAGCTGACTCATCAGGTAAGAACACTGCTCTTCCCAGGGACAAGGGTTCCATTCCCAGCATCCACATGGCAGCTCACACCCATCTGTAATTCCAGATCCAGGGAATCTGAGGCCCTCTTCTGGCCTCCGAGGACATTGCACTCACTGGTGCACAGACATCGATGCAGGCAAAACACGCACACACATAAAATAAAAACAAATCAATTAAAAATAAACGCATAAGGCAGTGGACTTAGCACCGTATGTCTGTGTTGACCTGTCCCCTGCAGGTGATGAGTGCTCTTTGTCCTGCTCACCATGCAAGGCCAGTGCCACTCCCAGACCTGCCGACGGTACCTGCTTCTCCTCTGAGCACCTTCTCCAGCCTCACACCCTGGATCTCCGAGATCCTCTGCCGCTCTTCCACCTCCTCTAGCTGCCTCTGGATGGCCTGCAAGACCAAGAGTGCATGTCCTGAGAGACTCTGTAGATGAGGGGGCATAAGAGGGGCCGAGCCTGCTACTAGCTGCCACCAGCGATGCCATTGACCGTGGAGCTCCCCAGCTCAGTACCTCGGTGCTTCTGTCCTTAGGATGAGCCACGGAGCACAGCATCTGCATATGTGTAAATGACACCCACAAAGGAGTCAAAACCACCCTGTGACAAGGCCCACCACACTGGAGTCCTGGGAGGGAGGCTCCTGGACCGGCCATGGGATCCTCATGGGTCCTGGACTTTAACCAAGGGTGCAATGGCCAGGGCTGTCTCCTCAGCCCAGAATAGGGCCACTCAGGTACTGTTTTGCAGGAGGAAGCCACTGATACCTCATGACATGAGATCTGGGCCTGCTCCAGGGGATCAGGGTTCATTCTGGGGTCAGCCTGTACCCCACCTTGACTTCAAAAGGGCTCTTGCCCTGGCCTTGCACCACTGGTTGTGGTCCCGGGTGCTCCCCGACAGATGTGCCTGTGGATCTGTTATCGTCTAGTTCTGAAGGTGGAGCAGCAGGTGCTGAACCCATGATGTTTACAGCTCACACTCCGTGGACCCCCAAGCACTTGTTTAGTTTTGGGGTTATACACAGGTTTGGGTGGGCATGTTTTACTTTTCTTACCAGCTGTTACTCTCATGGAATAACAGCTTTCCTTTAGGAAAGAAAGTAGAGCGCGGTCATTTTTTGGTAAGTTTTGTTCATCGCCACCAACTTTCCTTGCTTTCAAGCAGTGGGTTACCGGGAGGCAGGCAGGACGGTTCTTACACACAGCTGCACAGGAACAGTAAAGAAACCATGAACCATCAGGGAGGGTGGCGCATCTGTCTGAAACTCTCTCTCCCCCAAACACCCACCCTTCTAAATCTCCCCTGGAATCATAGCTGCAATGGTCAAGGCATCCCCAACACCAAGAGACTCAAATGGGGACATGAGCCACCACCTGGCTCTTCTCGCCCCAGCTATGAGTATTTAAGTGGGAAACACAAATTAAACGCGAATTCTGCTGCTAGTTGCTTGCAATTTCATGTCCTCTTCTCTGCTGCCTTTGAAAGAGGTTGTGTCTTGATAAAGCCCAACTCTTCTTGCAGGTAAGGCACAAGGTTGCTAAGGAAGGGAGACCATTAGGTAACTCTGTAACTGATGGTTGTGTGGTTGCAGCTATGAGGTTGTTCTGGAATAAAATGAATTGCCCCTAAATTTATAGGTTGAGATCCCAACTTCTAGGGTTACTGTATTAGAGACAAAGTGTTTGAGGAGACCATTGAGGTTATGGCGTGCAGCCCTGATCTAATGGGCCTCCTACCTGTATGAGTGGAAGGATGCTCTCCCCCTCCCTGGTCCCTCTCCTCACACTTCAAAAAGATCCTGTGAGGATGCAATGGGAAGGTGCTGTCTCTCAGCCAGGAGCAGAGCCCTTGGCAGATGCCCAGCCTGATGTGCCTTGATCTTAGTTCTTCAGTCTCCAGGAAAGAAATACACGTTGTTTGAGCCACCCAGGCTGTGGTCTGTGGCTATGGAAGCCTGAGCAGGTAAACACAGTGTTCCTTCTCCAAAGGCTCACTTCCCAGCCAAGGTGCTACCACAGGCAGCGAAGCCTTTAGAAGGCAGGGCCTCACAGAAAGAAGCCATGTCACTGTGAGTGAGTGTGCCCTTGAAGGGGATATGAAGAGCTCTTCCCGCTCTCACTGCCCCTGCTTCTGGAGCCATGAAGTTGCCTTCAGCTCTATCCATACTCTCTGCAGAGATAGGCCCTCCCCACAGGCCTAAAGCAATGGGGCCAACTGACTATGGACTAGTATGACTGACCCCATAAATCCAAACAAAACTTTCCTCTTTTAAAGTTAATCGTCTTAGGCATTTTGTTACTGTAGCAGAAAGCTGATGAGTACACAAGACTGCATGGCCACATCAAGGACACGGTGGTGAAAGCAATACAGTGCTACGTGGATGAATAGGGATGATTGTTCTAAGTCCATATACACTCAAGTCCAACTGTTCTTCAAGACTGGGCTTAGAGAGGGACAGTGTTTATGCTGTCTGCTCCATTTTGTTCATCCAGGACAGAGACTGACAGATTAGCTTGGGCAGAAACGCTTGGAGGAAATCATCAGGTTAGGAAGTACTAGGTACTTAATGCTTTCAACTAATCCTAAAACAGAATCAGACCCCAGTAGCTATCAGTTTAGCAGAGACTCAGTCAAGGAGGTGGTGGATGACTTCTGTCCTTACTGAGGACACACTGAAGGTCACTGCTTTGTGGGAGTAAGGGATTATGATGGCCATGCCAGCCTCACTTTGTAGGACACAAACCTGAGGCTGGAAAGGTGACTGGGATGGGAATAGTTCAACCTCCTGAGCTCCTCACCCCAGAGCCCTACTGGGGATTGGGCCAGAACCTTCAGAATGGCCACAGTCTGGTTCTCACAGAAGGGAGGCAGGCCTTTCCCTGGCCCATTTCCCCAAGAACAGATTGACTCCTGGAGGATTTCCCACCCACACCCCGGGGACACCTTCACATGTTTGCTTCCTGACCTGAGCCTTATGGAGTCTTTTCAATTCTTCTTGCTTAACCATCTGCTTCTCCAGCTTCCTTCTTCTTCTGGGTATCTTCTCCTATACAAAGCAATGGAGAAGAGCAAGCCACAACTAAGAAAAGGGATAACAAAACCTCATCATTGCCCTCTGCCATCTCCATGCACGACTCTAAGCCACCGCTGCCTTCTAGCATAACGACATCCAGCAGAACTTTCTACAGTGATGACAATGACCTCAATCTGTACTGTGTGAAATATGAATGCCGCTATCCACAGGTGGCATTGGAATTGAGCTGTGAATAAAAAATTGAAGTTAAATTTGATTTAACTTCATCATCACTGGCACCATCAGCAGCAGCATTATCTTTATTATTTTAAGACAGGGTCTCACAGTATAGCCCTTACTTGCCTGGAACTTGCTACATGGACCAGACTGTCTTTGAACTCACAGAAATCCACCTGCCTTTGCCTCCCACGTATTCCATCTCAGGGATGGAAGTTGTTCTTCTAGGATTTTTAGAATCCTAAAGATCCTTGGGAGGCAACCTTGGCTTTTACATCTCAGCACAGCCTCATCTTTGTTCCTGGAGAAGACGCCCAGGTGACTGCTTGGGTTCTGGCTTTAGCATGGGAACCCTCTAGTAATAAATGAGGATCTTTGGAGAAAATCTGGACCAGGGTGAGGTGCTTCCTGCCCTGAGATGATTTCTCTAGCTTACCTAAAGACCTGGCTTATTTATTTCACAAGTATCTCAGGAGCACCCATTGCATGAGCCAGGTTGTAAATCCTAGCATCTGTAGAGTGTCATGGGCCATGCAATGAACTAATTCCTTCATAATGTCTCCTTTATATCTCAGATTGAAGGTCTCCATAAATATGGACAACAAACGTCAGAAAGACAACCTGCCCAAATCGACACAATTAGTAATGGATGCAGGTGATCATCCTCAGTATGCATATTTTCCCACAGGCCTTTTCTTTTGCCAGGTGCTGGACAGTCAAGGACCCCTGTTCTATGGTAGATCCTATAGGAGCGTCGGCTTCCTCTAAATGGAGACCATTGGATACAAATTCTGTATTCTGGTTAGTTTTAGTCAGCTTGACACAAGCTGGGCCTTCTGGGAAGAAGAGACCTCAGTTGAGGAAATGCCCTATAGGCAAGTCTGTAGAGCATCTTCTTGACTGCTGATTGATATGGGCTAGGCCTGGTTCACTGTGGGTAGTGCCACTCCTGGGTAGTTGGCTAATCAGGCCATGGAGAACAAGACAGTAAGCCGCATTCCTTCACAGCCTCTGCATCAGTTCCTACCTCCCAGCTGCTGCCTTTAGCCCTTGTCCTGACTTCCCTTCATGATGCTCTGTAAGCTATATGATGAAATAGACCCTTTCTTCCCCTAGTTGTTTTTGGTCATGGTGTTCATCACAGCAATAGGAAGCAAATGAGGACATCTGGAGAACGGTAGACCACAACAGTGCCATGCAATCTCCCCAAAGCATAGTCCTCCCCACAGGGCTCAGAGTGTAGCTCAGTGGCAGAGTGCTTGCGGAGCATGTGTGAGATCTTGGGTTTGATCCTCAATGCACACACACACACGCGTTTTCTCTCTCTCTCTCTCTCTCTCTCTCTCTTCTTTCAAGTCAGTAGAACAAAGCCCAAGGTTGGGGATAAAAGAGAATTTGTTATCTTCTATTTAAAGCATATTCTAGCAAAGCTCAGGAATCCCTCCCTACACAGGGGCTCTTCATTCTGTCCACAGCAATCGTGCTGGTATAGAGAGTGGAGGACAGAAGCTAAGGGCTGGCTCAACAGATGGCGCCCAGATGTGATGGGCTAAATCCACTTAAAAACCTGAGAAGGCTTAAAAATAAGGGAAACAGAGTTTTACACAGAGTTTTGCTCTCTGTTGGTGGCGTGCCATAAAGAGATTTCCTGATTCAGCAATAGCAGCAGAAAAAAAGCTGCGTCATTTTAAAGCGCGGCTTCCTGGGGGCTGTGCTGCCAGCGTGAACTCTGGCTTTAAAGCATTTCAAGGCTTTTATGGGACTGGATGTTTGTGTTCCCGCTTGGGATCGGAGGAGAGTGCTCTGAGACCGTGCAGATGGCTCAGTGCTCCCCGCCTGCACCTGGGCAGAAGGCCGAATCAGGCTTAGGCAGGCGGAAGAGCATGGCGGATTCCTGCCGTCATACAGAGACGCGTTTTCAGACTGCGCAGTGCTCTGCATGTCAGATTTGGCTGTAACTTGGATGAAAAGAGTTTCTGTGCTGCACGCTCAGTCTCAGAATTAAACTGCTGATTGCGGCTCCAATGTGAACTGCTGTGTGCCTGGAACTGTGCTCAGCTCAGAAGCACCAAATGACTCTGAGGCAGGAGCGGCTGCTCCATGCTGAACTGTGCTGATCTCAGGCAGGAACTACCGTAATTACCTTAAAACCGTGCAGTTAAGGTTTAGACTGGGCAGGACACAGGCAGTACCGTATTACCTGTACATGGTGCAACTTAAGTTTTTAAGAAATGCTTAACATTTTAAGAAATGCTCCTGGATAATAAAAAAATTACAGATTCACAATAGAACAGATTCAGACACTGTTGGATGAATGTACGTAGGCTTGGGAGAGAGAAGAAAAAGAATATAAAGAATAAAGTTAATGTCTTAAAAAGAAAAAGGGTAAAGTCTTTAAAGAGACAGAGTACAGAAGTACAGATAGTTATAGATTAAGAGAAATAAAGAAAAATAAGCCACGTAAAAATGGAAAATTCACAGAGAGTCTGGATTATGTACATTGTGTTTTCTTTAAAATTTTTGACTGTGAAGGAGCTAAGTACAGAGAGACATTTCATTATATGGGCTGCTAAGCTGAACCTGCACATATGTTCTAAAGGTATCTTGACTTCAGAATTTGGATCTAAGGTTATGATGCTTTGGAAAAGTCCTTCTTTTGTTTTCACAGAGGATGTGACCCTGTGGATTGCATCTATTCCGATTTGGTATGATAGACCACGCCCTCCTGAAAGGTTGCTGTGAACACCCTCAAAAAATTGCTTCGCTCAATTGCCAACTGAGATGAAACTAGCACACAGGTTATATCATGAACGACCTAATTAACGACGCCCCTATTCAGCAGGAAGCAGTTTGGAGAGAAAAAACTACGCCCATGTTCCCAAATATTGTTTATAAATGTTCTTTTACATTTAAAGGGGGATATGATATAGATATGAATAATTTGCATTGGTATGGATTTTAAGGTCAATTTTGTTATATGTATATGTATTTTTGATCTTGATTAAGGTATTGTGATTGTGTAGTTCATTTAAAAATGTAATGTATAATTAGGAAATATAGGTTGTTAATGGATAATCATCGCTAATAGTTAAGCTTGTAGTCATGTTAATTAGATTTTCTAGATATATAGAGATATATTTCAATTAGATAGGCATTCTTCATATCTTTCAAAGACTGCAGAATATGGCATTTAAAATATTTTAATAACTTAGGACTTTTCATGACAAGGAGACACGTCTGCTCCTGGCAGCACCAGCTACTTCAAGAGGAAGATGGGCATCGAAGAGGATCCTTATGGAGTTGGATAGTCATTTGGGCAAGAAACTGCTCTTGCCTGGACTGTTGCATAAACTGGACACAGAGAACCCTCAGAGAGAGGACTGCTGAACTTGCCTAAAGGTGAGATGGTCTTTCGGGGTTCCTGATTCATGAAAGAGTCTGCGAGACATTCTGCAGGACACAGCAGAAAATGACTGAACTGTCTTTGAAATTTCCTGCTTCATGGAAATGTATCTGGATACCATGGGCCTGTAGGCCGAAGATGGATGCCCCAACGGTACCAAAGAACTTTGGGTGACTGTCCAGGCAGCGAGATGTCTCTGTCATTTCTAGAGTTTTCTTATTTCTTGTTTACTTAGGTAATATTATATCCTTCTGGAGTCTTTGATGGAGTTGAAGAATGAATAGTTATAGTTTTCCTTAGTTATGGTAAGAGATAAAATAGATATAAATATTGTAACTGTAATTCTTACTTGATAACTGTTTTGTTATATGTAATTTTACTATGCTAAAGTTAAAGCCTTTCTTTTTTGTTTAAACGGAAAAAGGGGAAATGATGTGGGAATGATTTCTTACTAATAAAGAAACTGCCTTGGCCCATTTTATTGGATAGAAAATTAGGTAGGCGGAGTATACAGAAGAGAATTCTGGGAGAAAGAAGGTTAGAGGAGGAGTCGCCATGATGCTCCCACTCCAGACAGATGCAGGTTAAGATCCTCTCTGGTAAGCCAGCTCATGGGCTACACAGAATATTAGAAATGGGTTAGAACAATATGTAAGAGCTAGCCAATAAGAAACTGGACCTAGCCGGGCCAGGCAGTGTTTGAAAGAATACAGTTTCCGTGTAATTATTTCTGGGTATTTCTAGCCATGCGGGCGGCCGGGTGCCGGGGACGCAGCCCTGCCGCTCCTATTTCAACAGGCCAAGAGAAGAACCAGTACAGGAGGAGGGAAGGACCAAGGCTCAGCTGCCACAAGTCCCCTGCCTCAGGCATCCTGCCTCCAGCTTCCTGTGCAGAGGTTCATCTGAGCAGGCTCTGTTGTGACCCTTGGGTGGGGACACACCTGAATGCACCCAAAGAAACAGAGAACCCAGAGGCCAAAGCCCTTCCTTCCCACTTGAAGGCTTCCTGGAGGAGTGGGGCCCCATTAGGAGGAGGAAGCATAGGTATGCTTCACCACATGGTACTCTCAAGTAACCACTAGCCGTGTGCTAGGCCAGCAAGATGGCAAGGAGCTGGTTGTGAGGTTTGTTTGGGATATTATGGTCTTGCTACTTCCACACGCCCATGCTAACCTATTCTTTCTCTATGAGGGTTAAGAAGATGGAGTCTGGGATCTGTCTCATTTGAGTGGAGAATTAACTTAAGGTTATTTGAGAGGATGGGGGGCAATAAGGAGCCCCCAGAAATCAATGTAATACAATTTACATAACACTTCATTTCTGGTGAGGATTGAAGTAACTAAATCAGCCCGCAATTTAAAAACAGAAAGATTCCTCTCCCCTCCTCTACTGTGTGTGCGCCTTAGGGAGTTGGAATCCCCCTTTGTGACTTGAACTGAAGCCAAAGCCTCTCTTGCTAGATATGGGAAAGCCGAGGATGAGTAAATTTGGTTCTCTTCTTCCTTCATAGCTCCTCTCTGCTCTAAAACTATAAACAGAGCCAGAGCAATGCCCAGCTCCTCCGCCTACCCCAGAGGCAAGCGAGGACCCCTCTGAGTCCTAGGGGACAAGCTGCAGTCCCATACTTGGAGAAAACAGCAGTGGGCGTGGGTGGCAAGTGTCTCTCTCTGCACATGGGACATATAGGCACATCCACAGACATGCCACACTGTGTTTTCTCTGCATTGGCATGAGAGATTCGGTAAGTGCTCTCTAGACATGAATATCCACTAAGAAAGGGGATGGTTGTCTTCCCAGTGGCATGTGGGCTCCTTCGACAGTAGGTGCCTTGGTGTATCCGTGTCTCTGCGCAACTTCATGGTTTGTTTCATAGCTCCGGTTAGAATAAACATAACATTTTCTGAGCAATCTGCCTCTAGTGCTTCTTAAATGAAGTTGTGCTTCCCTTGGGGACATACACATCTGCTTGTTGAAGTTTTTCAAGGGTTTGCTTATTGGATCGCGTATCAAACCCACTTTAAGCATGGCGCTCGCCAAATGGTTTCAAGTCGGTATGTCTTCTTTTTTCCCTTCCCCCATTTGAGACTCTGAGGTTTTCTTGCTTGGTGTTTTATTTTTTTTTTTTTTTAAAGAAGACAAATCTTGGGGGGGTTCCAGATAAAAAGAAGGGTGGTTGTCAGTTGCAATGTGGCTTTATCCTCTTGAGGATCCTTGCAGCTGGAGCCCACATTGGCTCTGAAGCCTGGATGGGAAATGAGCCCTAGCCAGCCAAGGCACTGTATGGTGTTACACGTGATGTTACCTTTAGCCGTGAGGAAGACTGGGAGCCAGCATCTTCCTCTGCAGAGGAGGAGGCGGGAGACGGGGGAGAAGAGGTGGCCTCTGTCACTGGAGCTCCAAGGCCTGAAACGAGAACCGGAGAGAACTCACCACCCTTGTGGCTGTTTTTCCTGCTTCGCCACCTCTCTCCACCCTCACCCTGTTTGCTTCCTTCTGCCCACCCCTCACTGCACCTGCCAGGAGCTTGGGAAAGCGGTACCTCAGGGCCCCTGAAAAGTTGGCCCTCCACGTTAATTACATTTCTGGATCCCTGCCAAGAGCTCTGCCGGCTCGCCTCTCACATTCAAAACAAAACAAAACAAAACAAGGTATTATGCGGGAATCAAGGAAGTCCTTAGACACCCTTTGCAGGGCAGGATCCTTGCTTACAATGCTTTTGGATCAAAAAATCTATTATGAAAATGCATATCTGAAGTTAGCTGAGTTACCTAAATGCGCGGGTAAGGTTCGTTCTGCAGAGTAATTGAATGCAAAAAAAAAAAAAAAAAAAAAAAGTCAGAGCCAGCTCTTAAACAAATCGCCCTTCTGCGGCTCGCAGCATCTGGCACCCATTTTTACTACACGACATCTGCTCAGTGTAAAAGAGCTGGCGTCAGAATGTCTGGTCATAGAAAAAAAAATCCCAAATGTAATCAGAAGCAAAAGGACTCTAAGCCTAAGGATTTTATCACATAGCCTCATGCAACATAAATATTTCATTAATTATGGCTAAACAAATGCCACTTTTATTTCCCCAACTTGCAGATATTATCACATCATGGAAGGGATGATTCAAATGCCAGGAAAAAAAAAAGCAGTTGAAGATAGGGATGGCCTAACAAAGCAGGGCCCATAGGGAAGAGAAAGCTGAGGAGCCATGCCAAACTCCAAACATGAACTGGACGGCTGAGGACGGTAATAATGCCCATGTTGACCAAACACCTTTTCGTGATCTGGCTGAGGCCCAGGTGTGATTGGGCTTCCAGGTACTCCAGGAGACTTTCATCTTTTCCAGCAAGAACATCTGCCCCTGCACACACACACCTGATGGAGTCTATGCCAATACCAGGATTAACCCATGTTGGTCACTGCACTACAGGACCAGTAGAACTTAGCGACGGCAAATGGACTCGCCAGTGGCAGCTTGGGTCTGCACAGACCGATGGAGTGGGTGGAGAGAAAGGAGAGAAGTAATTCCAAGTCAGCTAACATCCGCTCCAGCCTCCCTATAATTTTCAACTATTCACCCCAGTGGGAGCAGCCAAGTGTTACAAAATAAGGGTAATTTTAACCTCCAGCAACACATTTACATACGCTCTTATTCAGAGCAAAATAATACAAAACATGCATATAACAACCCAGCCTCTCTGGGGAGAGGGTTTGCTGTTTTCCACTTTAATTTGCCAGATGGGAAAGCTCAGGTAAAGATAGAACCAGAGAGTGGCATCGTCCTCGGAGCAGGCTCTGTTCTCTTTGGGCAGAAATTGCATCCTGCTTCAGCCACTAAATCGCCACAGAGGGATCCAGCCACTGAGCACTGAGTCTAGAAGTGAGAGGAGCCGACTGTATGCTCTTGAGTTCTACTGTCATGATCCCTGCACACAGAATCACTGTGGTCGAGCAAACCTAATCAAAGGCCTTGGTGGTATCTGATACATGGGAGTAGCTGTTGGAAATGTTTATTTAGACTTGTTTTATTTACTACTTTTCTCATTGCTGCATCCAAGCATCTGACATGGAGCAACTTCAGGATTGGGGTTGTAGCTCAGCATGCCAGAGGCTCTGAGTTAGATTCCCAGCCCTGCTCTCGGAGATGAAGGCAGGAGGAATGTAAGTTCAAGGTCATCTTTGGTTACTAAAGAGTTTGAAGCCAGCCTGAGCTAGAGACTGTCTCAAAAAGGAGGCAATTTGAGGTAAGAAGGCTCACGGTTTGAGGATACAGTGCATCATGGAAGGAAGGGGTGGTGGAAGGCTGCTCGCTCCCCTCTGGGTACCGGGGAGCAAAGAGAGATGAATGTTGCACACACTCCTCTTGATTCCCTTTTCAGTCTGCTGGATCAGCCCATGGGATGGTGCTGCCCACGTTCAGAATGGGTCTGATAGGTCTTCACTCCTCAGCTAACCCTCTCTAAAAGCATCCTTGCAGACGACCCAAGGGTGTGTCTGTCTCCTTGGTGGCTCTGTGCCCAGTCAGCGTGACAACCGACATTCACATCCCAACTGTCTTCACCATCGTCATTGTTATCATTGACTCAATTAACAGCACTTTCTTCTAGAACTGCCTGATTGACCTTTATGTACAATAGAAGTACAGATGTAAGGTTAAAACTTTTTCTAATTAAAAAAAAAAAACTTCTGTAGAATTTCATTTGGAAATGGGAGTGAAACGGCTTCTAAGCAGTAGGAAGGCCGAGCCTCTCCTCCCATCAGGGGAGACCAGCCTTTCCTCTTCTCTCATCAGGGGAGACCAGCCTTTCCTCTCCTCCCATCAAGGGATGCCAACCATTCTGAAGGTCACTAGTCACTTGCAATCTTGAAGGACTTTGCTTCCCCACACCATGTCAGAGTGCCTGTTTTTGGAGCTGACTTCTCACCAGAATGCAGTTAGAATTCAGGACACAATATATGAAGCATCTTTTCCCAGACAGGAGCCAACAGGCAGTACAGAAAGATGTAAAAGGTAAGAGTAGAAACCCACACAGTCCTGCGGCCACAGATGCTTCTGCCCTGAGGTCCTTTGCTGACCTCAGCGCAGGCAGGAAAAAACCCTAACAGGTTAAAGTAGACTCACTGAGTTGAAAGGCAGTTCAGAGTCTGGCCAAGCATGGCAGCAGTAATGTGTAAGATGGAGCTCTGGAGAGGAGGGAGTACTACAAAAGACAGAGAGAGAGAAACAGAGAGAGAGACACAGAGAGACAGAGACAGACAGACAGACACACACACACACTCACACACACTCACACACACACACACAGAGAGAGAGAGAGAGAGAGAGAGAGAGAGAGAGAGAGAGAGAGAGAAATTTAGAAATTAGCATAGAAGTTCATGTCTATCTGCTGCTTAACAGGAATCCAAAGATGTATAAAACGAAGCTACCTGGCTGGGCATATTAACTGCAGAGAAGTTGCAGGCTCAACATTCTACTGATTTTGCAGCAGTTCTTAGCCTTCTTGATGCTGCGACCCTTTAATACAGCTCCTCATGTGGTGACCCCAACCATAAAATTATTTTCATTGTTACTTTATCACTGTAGTTTTGCTACTGTTATAAATTAATGTGAATATTTTGGGAGATAGAGGTTTGCCAAAGGGGTCACAACCCACAGGTTGAGAACCTCTAACGTTTTCTTGGGTGGGAGATGTTCAGATTGTCCCTAGTCAGAGACAGCTGGGGCATTATAGCGGTCACAGGAAACTTTTACTTTGTTAACAGGGTAGATTAGTGCTAGAGCAATGCTTATCACAGACACACCTGGCAAGCATGAAGACAAGTCATGGAAGGAACAGAGTGACCTTAACATTATTCTACTGCCTATTAAACATCCTTTATTCCCCCATTTAACAATAAAAAATAAAATTCAACCATTTTTCTACATAAACTCTATTAGTTGGTAAACTGACACACACACACACACACACACACACGATTAGTCAAATAAGAGAAAAATCCATCAATAAAAACAAAAACCAGAAATGACTGATACAGTGAAATTAACAGGCAAGTATTTAAAAATATCATAAATGTGGTCAGGAAGCTAAAAGTAAGCTACTAAAACAACTTTGAGAACTAATAAATTTAATAAAGTAGTGGTCTGTAAAATTAACATTGCTATGGTTGGTTAGCTCCTTCCCCCCTTCCTCCTGTTCCTTTCCCTCCTCCTTCCTTCTTTACTTCACTTTCTTCCCTCCTTCCCTCTCTTTCTCCCTCCCTCCATCCCTACCTCTCTCTTTCCCTCCCTCCTTTCCTCCCTCCCTTTTGGCTTGGGGCTGAGAATCAAACCCAAAGAACTGTACAGGCTAAATTTGAGTTCTATGGCAAAGCCACACCCTCAGCTCCAGGCAGTAGCATGTCTATCTACTTACACGCAACTTTATAAAAGGAAATCACAGAAACTCACAGACGTGCAGCGTCTAATAAAATGCTGGTCACTAGAACTGGCAGGTGAAGGTAGGGACTGGAGAGACGTTCACAGGATATGAAATTTCAGTTCAATAGGATCAAGTTTGAGAGACCTATCCTATAGCACGGAGACTGTTAGCACTAGAATGTAAAATGTCTGCCAGAGGCCCACGTGTTTGAACAGTTGATCTGAAGGTCCTTCGGAACCCCTAGGAGGTGGAGCCTTACCTGGATGAAGGTGGTCACTGCGGGGTTGGCTTTGAATGCTACTGTGCACTGTTTCTGGCTCAGTTTCTCTTTTTTTTTTTTGACTGTTGATATGACAAAAACATCAGCCTCTAGCTCCCACCACCCATGTGTTCCCTGCCATGAGATAGATAGCTCAGTGAATAAAGCAAGCATGGGGGCTGGAGTTTGTATCCCCAGAACTCACATAAAGCCAGATATACATCTGCAATCTCAGTGTCCCACTGCAAGATGGCAGCAGAAGCTAGAGAATCCTGGGAGGCTTGAAGGCCAGCTAGTCTGGAGTAGGCAGAGATCCTGGGGCTAGAGGGATGACTCAGCAGTCCTGGGGCTGGAGGGATGATTCAGCAATCCTGGGGCTGGAGGGATGACTCAGCAATCCTGGGGCTGGAGTGATGACTCAGCAATCCTGGGGCTGGAAGGATGACTCAGCAATCCTGGGGCTGGAAGGATGACTCAGCAGTTAAGAGCACAAGCTGCTCTAGCAAAGGACCTGGGTTTGATTCCCAACACCCACATAGTAGCTCACAACTGTTTAAAACTCCAGTTCCAGAGGATCTTACACTTTCTTTGGGCACTGTGTGGAGTTGGTCCACAGACATACATGCAATCAAAACACTCACACCCATCAAATAAAATTAAAATCTCAAAACAGTGATCCTGTCTTAAATAAGGTAGAAGGTGAGGACCCACCTCCAAAGTTGTTCTTTGACTTCCACTTGTGTGCCATGACACTCACAGGCCCATATTCACAGACATACTCATACATATCACACACGGGTACACACATGTACATACACATGTATGCAGAGATGAATACATTAAAAAGTAAAGAAATATATATTTTCATATGTATATGTGTATATACATATATGTGTATATATATGACTCAAAAGACCCAAAATGTTGTGGAACTGAAACAATATAAAAACAATTGAACAAACTATAGTTGGGGGTGTTCACTCTCCTCTCTTAGTAGTTGATAAAATAACCAAACTGTTATGATTTTTCAAAAATGATGCAAGATCCCCAGTGGCAGTAGGCAGCAGAAATGCTGTAGGTCCCCAAATAGAGGTAGAGGGCCATGTGGCAGCAGGCAGTGGGCCCTGGGAGTAGCCAGTCCCAGGCAGAGATGGCTGCTGGCCCCTGAGTGGTGGCTAGTCCCAGGCAGGGAGGCACATGGTGGGTGGGCTGGTCCCAGCAAGCCTGGGGGTGTGAGCAGGTGGCGGGTAGGAGGCATATGGTCAGACTGATCATACAGAATAGAACAAAATATTTATTACTTAGAGGAGGTGGGGAGAAGGAAAGAAAGACAGAGAGAGAGAGAGAGAGAGAGAGAGAGAGAGAGAGAGAGAGAGAGAGAGAGAGAGAGAAGAGGGGGAGTGGAGAAGTGGGGAGGGAGGCAGAAGTGAAGCTGCCTCTCCGAGAGGAAGGCAGAAAAGAGAGCAAGCTCAGGCCGGAAGATCAGCCTGCCTCAGAGGATGCGGGAGGGAGTGGGTGTGGCTTGTCTTTTAAAGAGACGACAATCATAACACAAACCAATGTAGGAGTTCTTACTATGAGCATCATTGAATAACTGCAACACACTTCGCGTTATGGACCCTTTCCAAAAAAATTCGGTAGAACAAAAACAATCTCCCACTCCATGGTGTATAGAGACTATGTTGTCTGTATTTATTCATCTGTTTGTTATTGTTGTTTTGGGTTTCGTGTGTGTGTCTGTGTGTGTGTGTCTGTGTGTATGTCTGTGTGTGTGTGTTTTCTCCCATTGCTTTGATTTTGAGACAGGGTCTCAGTGTAGCCCAAGTTGGCCTCAGCCTCTCATTTCTCCTGCCCAAGTGCAAAGACTGCAGACATATGCCGCCACACTGGGATCTCCATCTACGATGGACACTTAGGCTGAGTCTATAACTTGGCTGTTCTGAATAGTATGCAGTGTGCATGGGTGTGTCAGGTTATTGTGTGCTAACCTTGGATTTTTTTCAGGTGTGTAAGTGTGGCATGCCTGGGTCTTATGGCACCTCCAGTTCCAGTGTTCAAGGGACCTTCACACCAAGTTTTACACAGTAGTTGAACTAATGTATACTCCTGTTAATAGTACAGCAGGGTCTCTCACCTTTGTCCCATCCTCATCCTCATTGGCCAGTATTTGTTGTTTCATTGGTGGCCTTGATGACCGCCCTTCTGACTAGGGTAAGATGGAATCTCAGGGAAGTTTTTATTTGTGGTTCCCTGATGGCTAAATATATTGAATATTTTATGCATTTATTGGACATTTATCCTTCTACTATCCAGCTTATTTGCCCATTTATTGGTTAGATAATTTGTTGTTTGGCGATGTGGGATTCCCCTCTGCATGTTGTGAATACCATTGGTAAATAAAGAAGCTGATTTGGATCTATAGCAAGGCAGAATAGAGATACTCGGGGAAAACTAAACTGAATGCTGTGAAAAAGAAGGCAGAGTCAGGGAGAAGCCATGTAGCCCCATTGGAGACAGACGCCAGAACTTTAACCGGTAAGCCACAGCCTCGTGGTGATACACAGATTAATGGAGATGGGTTAATTTAAGTCATGAGTTATCCAGAAATACACTTAAACTATTGGCCAAACAGTATTACAAATAATATGATTTCTGTGTGATTATTTCGGGACTGAGCAGCCAGGAACAAACAAGTGGCCTTCTTACAACATTTGGGTGTTTAATTTTTTTGAGGCCTTAAAGAGTGCATATGAATCTCTAATCAGATGAATAGATGGCAAAGATTTCCCCTAGTTCTTTAGAATGCCTTTTCAACCTGTTAACAGGGCTTTTTGCTATGCTTTCTAATCAGATGGATACAATCATATTTATGCAAATGGATAGAGTTTGCAGCTATTTTTTCTTTTTCTTTCTTCTTTCTTCTTTCTTTCTTTCCTTTCTTTCCTTCTTCTTTCTTCTTTCTTTCCTTTCTTTCTTTCTTTCTTTCTTTCTTTCTTTCTTTCTTTCTTTCTTTTTTTTGTTTTCATCAAGTTTCACTATGTAGCCCAGGCTGGCCTCAAACTCATATTCTTTTTGCTTTAGACTTATGAGTATTAGGATTACAGGCATGCACTGCCACACCCAGCCATACGTCTTTTAGTTTTAAAGTAGACAAATGTACTATCTATTATGCATCTATTAAATGGGGCTGGAGAGAAGGTCTAGTTAGGAACATCTGTTGCTCTTGCAGAGGATTCAGGTTTGATTCAAGCACCCATACAATGGCTCACAACCATCTGTAATTCCAGTCCCAGGAGACCAAATACAGTCTTCTGGCTTCTATTGGCACCAAGCATGCACATGGTATACAGATATACACGTAGGCAAATATGCATATACATAAAATAAAAAGTGAATAAATCTAAAAACATACACATGAAATTCCATGGTGTGTGAGTTTAAAAGAATTCTTATATCTCAACTTACCTATGCTCATTCCAAACTTAGCTGCTAATAAGTTCTTTTGTTAATCTATACAGATATTTGATTAGGGTGCAAAGATAATTCCTTGAAAGCTGATTATTCCTTAAAATTTTTTAAAAATTAAAAGGTAAAATTATCAGAATTTTTGAAAACTGGAAATAATAGGATCACAATTTATTTAAAGTGGTCAAGCGAACATTCAGCGACAAAAGAAATTGTCTGGGGAGACAGTTCAGTGGATGGGGATTCTGCTTGCTGTGTAGTGTGATACCTGAGTTAAAATCCCATGTAAAAAGCTGCGCACTGCCGCACCCACTTCTGCAATCCCAGCATTGTAGGGGCATGGACAGGGGGATCATGGGGCTTTCATGCTACCAGCATAATTCCAGGTTCAGCGAGAGACACTGTCTTAAAGGGAATAGGAAGTCAAGGAGGAATTGATCAGAACACCCAGCAACCCTTTCTCACCTAGAGTGCACATGCATGCACACATCCACACACATGCAGATATACCACACATTCACAAATAAAAAAAGATATCACGCATGCATTTACACTATCCTTAAAGAAATACACTAAATGTTTGGCGAGGTGCAGAAACAATAACATGTTCTGTTTTTTGCTAGGTATTTCCGTACTGTTTGATTACTCTGACTCTTGGATACATTAATTAAATAATTAGCAACAACCAGGTTTAAATATAAAAAGTCTCTATTTTCATCGGTAATCAAACATACAGAAAAGCGGTTAGCAATTCAAGGAAAACAAAGAGGTACATGTGTGTAAAAATGTCCCACCAACACCATCCATACATTATAAATACAGTCACCTACAAGTATGTGTGTGTAAACATATATATATTACATATATACTTATAAGTTAAACAATCAAACAATGGTTCATTAAATAACAATATTGCTACAAGATAGAACAATCTTTAAGTCACATTTATATAGGTTCTGTGGCTATTTATATAATATCTAGAATATAAAGTTGATTTTTAAAAAATATACAATTGTATGTACATCTCAGTAAAAATATTAATATAGTTACGAAAAAAGGAAAGTGGTAGGATTATTGTTAATTTAACTTTCTATAACATAATTTCAGTTTTTTTAGGGTTTTTCTTACAAAACTTTCAATTTTCCTTAAATTTCTTTTTCAGGTAGTACATACATTTCCTTGTGCATTGAGGGAGGGAAGCGCACATGTGGAGACTACAGGACAATTTGGGAGACTGGTTCTCTCTTTCCACCATGTGGGTCCTGAGCCTGACAGCAAAAGCCTGTAAAGCCTGGAGCCATCCCGTCAGTCCCCGCGTTCCCCACTTTCGTCAGAATGAACTGGAGAAGGAAATCAAAGTGCACAGTGCCTGTTTGTGACTCTGGGGAGACCACTAACTGCCCAGCACGGAACTCTAAATGGGACTACTAAGAAAGCCACTTACGTGCATCCTGCCCTGGAGAAGGAAGATGCGCCACCTGCCTCAGCGAGGTGCTGCCAAAAGGCTCTACCAGCTTCTCCAAGGATGGGACTCTGTTCCCGGGTGGCCCCTTCTCCTTGGGGCTGCTAAAGAAATCCCCAACGTCTTTTCTTTGCTTGCATTCCTGGAGAAAACTCTCAAAGGATTTATCTTTGAGGCCAAGGGAGGAAATACGCGAGGCTCGTTTCTTTGGAACGTGGGTGGCATCCTGCAAACTCACTTTCTCCAGGAGGGTGGGGACATCCTCAATCTTGCCGTGGGGTGGTGGGGATGTGGTTGCAGAGAACGTCTTGGACGGACGAGTGGGCAAACTCCGGGAGCGGAGGATAGGGTCAGGAAGGCTAAGGTCTGAGGCCGGGGTAGCCTTAGAAGTTGGAGAAGCCAGAGAAAAGAAGGCTGAAGCCCTCTTAGCCATGTGTCTCACTGGAGACTGCTGGTCTTTGTCTTTATTGGAGCTGGGTTTCCGAAAACTAAAGGAGCGAGTGAAGCCATGTGGTTGGCCCCGAGGCAAGGTATTTGACTCTGGCTTAGGGCAGGCCTTCTTTCCACCTTCAGAACTGAGGTGCAGAGACTTTCGGATGGCATTTGCTATGTATTTCAGGGGAGACTTGGGTGGAGGCTGTTCTCGCTCCCGAGGCGACTTGCCAGCTGGGGTGCATACTTCCTCCTGGGCCCCTGTCTGGGATAGCAGCTTCTCTTTCATCGCCTGAGGGAGGGTAGAGGAGCAGAATGGTTTCGGGGTATGACCTCTTCCGTTTTCAGCTCTTTCTTGGGAGAGTCGCTCCCCAGCCCTGTGCTCAGGGGTGGGGTCATTCCAGTCTAGTAACTTGCTCTTCTGCTCCTGTGTGAGGGTTATTTTCTTCAAACCCAGCTTCTTTTCTGCAGACAGCCCTGGGCCACCTGTCTGTTCCCTCCTGGGTCCCTCACTCACTTCTCTTGGGTTCCTTGCAGTTTCAAGAGTTAGGTTTTGATTGGACAAACACTGGTCCTTCCCTGCGATGGGATGCATGCTTTTGGTGCTCCCAGGAGGAGCCCAGGTTTCCCGGCAGTCCTCTGAAGCCGTCTTGCCAGGGCTGCTGAGGTCTTCTCCACTAGGGCTCACCAGGCCTGTGCTCTCCAGCACGGGGCTATGAGGCAGATAGAGAGGAATTTCCTTCGAGATCCCTTGAGCCCTGGCACGTCTTAGGTAGAGCGGAGTGGGGCTAAAATTACCTCTGGAGATGGGTAGGGAGTGGAGGTCATAAGCTGGCACCTACAGGGGATGGACAGAAACACCCGTTACTTACAGTTCCTAGGGGAAGGTGAATGTCGATACACATGTTACTTCCTTTCTTTCTCTCACACCGAGATGCCCAAGGTAGGAAGGAGGTTTCAGAGAGGTTGGTCTTTGTCCCAAGTGACTATTAGGAACTTGATGACATCTACCTGAAGTCTCTATCAAAGACCAATAAAGGCTCTAGAACACGTGGAGAAAAAGCCAGAACAGAAAAACCCAGCATGGCTGCTGCTCTCGACAAGAAGACATTGATTGCCTTTACTAAGGGGACCTTCTTCCTATAGCTATGCTTTGCTGACATCCAAGAAGTCAGTTTCTCCAACCATGGATCTCAGGCTCTCAAGGTAAAAAGCGAGAGTTATCCTTCTGAGCCAAAGCGTTGGTAGTGGCCTTTGGGACTTTCTGAGGACCCTCCTAAATGTCACACCTTGCACCATTGTAAAATCAAAGTTTCCAGCACATGGGCACTTGGAAGAACATAAGTGGACGCTTCAGAGAGTAGCTATGCCCTGTCAAGAGTCCTGGTGCCTGAGGGAAGGCCATAGGCCACAGGTCAGAGGGCTTCAAAAGGGTGCATGCTTTTTCTGTCTTGAGGGCTCTCCCAAGTATAGCATAATCCTAGTGGGTTAGAGACTACATATTGGACCGGAAAGAAAGTCCAGCCATCCATTTCAGTGGTGATGCTTTCTGGTCTAGACAGATACTGCTCTCAGGGTCCTTGGATGCTACTGAGAGCACCCTTATTTCTGGGCCTATCACCCTTCGGCTGTCTTCCCTGTGTGGACTTCCTCAGGAGTGTATGTACTATGTCCATCTCCCTCACATGCTGACGGGGGTGGCTGTGCTCATGAGGCTGGCCCAAGAGGGGCAGGATGAGATTTTATGAAGACAGATGTAGAGTGTCCAGAGGCCCACTCTGCCCTGACTTTGCACTCAGGAGGGACCTGTGAGCACTTAGAATCCAGAATTAAGTGTGGCCGTAGTGAGGAGAGTCGGCATGCCCATCTCTTGGGCAGGGCCCCCGAGAGCACTTACCTGAGGAGAGGAGGAATTATCTGAAGTGCGCTCAGGTACACTAATTGAAGAAAAGGAAGACGGCAGGGAAGACGAAGAAGATAAAGACGAAGGAGGAGGAGACTCCTTGGGAGGCAGTGATGCTCTTCTGGTCATGGGTGTTGAATCTATCAAGGAAAGAACATGCTCCATCATTGCCTTGCTTTTAGCATAAAGAGAGAAGACTGTGGGTGGATCCTCTGTTTTAGGAAGGAAGGTACCGGGGATGGAGTCAGAGGAAGGTCCCTAGTGCCCATAGCTCGGGACTTGGCAGCAGAAACACTGAAGGAGAAGTTCCGCGAGTCCGTGTTTCCGACTTCTGTAGGATTGTTCCTGGGAGATGCGAGCCCAGCCCACAGAATGCTTTTGGGAGATGGACAATTACTGCCTGTGTTTCCCTGAAGTCATGGTGGTCAGGAGCTGGGACTGCCCTAAATCTCTCCTTCGATAAACCATCTGAGGTTTCTTTCCACAAGATGTCAGACCATTAGTTGTGGGCACGAACAGAATAGATGCTTAGGATAGAACCTAATGAAATGGGTTCTCCCTCTCCTGTGTGTGCCGCCCAGGGGCTCTCAGGCAAGGTGGTTAGCTTAAGATCTTATGGGAAACCAAAGGAGGGAGGTTACACCCATATCAGTGGTTCGAATCACACAGAATTAGTGGGAGCAGGCCAAACTTCTGGGGCTCAGGGAGCAGTCAGGAAGCCGTGCATTTGCTCAGAGATGCATGAGAAGGGAGCAAGGCTGGCTGGCCCCTGGGGAGGAGCCCAGTTCTGACCTGTGGGCAGCTGAAATCATCTGGTCCCATGACAGTGCAGCCTGGGACGTCACTCAAGCCCGCACATGCTGACCCTTCCTGTCCTGACACGTATCCCTCTTCCCCTCCAACTCAGTGACCTGAAATCTGCAATGCCAAGTATTTTCTCTCCAGACGGGAGCATCTCAGATAACTTGTACTGAGGTAATTTGAAAAAAACAACACGCAGCCTTTCACGGGCATACATAAGCTTCATCCTCAGGCCACCACAAACCACTGTGGCCCACAGCAGGGCTCCCTAGGTACATCCTGGACTGTGTATCTCACTAGCTTATTCTCCAACCCAGTACCTCAGCTCCCTGTTTCCTGCAGCTTGGGGGTGGGGGTGGGGCGCAGACTCTCCTGTGCTGTGTCCAATCTACAGGTTCTACAAGTCCACATTTCTTAGTTCAACACAATTCTCAGGCCTCAGCTTCCCCAAAGCTCTAGGCGATAGGCACCTGTACAGGCACCAAAACTATGCTTTTGTTACCCTGAGTAAATTCAAGGAACTTAATGACACAGAGTCAGGGATCTCTGGGGACACAAGTCTGAAAGAAAAGCCACGCCTCAGTTTCCTCTACTCCTTCAGGGAGACATTGGTGGGCTTTTAGGATGCATCTTGCTCTCCTCACACCCGGGCAAAGATGTCGGCTGTACATACCAGACACAGGCTTTGAAAAGATGCGTCTGTGGTCTGTGAGCTCCCATGGGGTACCCCACCCCTGCCCCAGGATGCTTCTGAGGGAGAAGGTAACTCGGGGAACACAGCTGCTATGAAGGTGGGCAAGGAGGAAATTCTGGAAGCTGCCAGGAGCTGACGCAAGGGAGCGCTGGCCTCCGTCCACCACCCGCACCCCATTGCAGCCCACAACATGATGGCTCGAGCCTAAAAAGGCAAAACTTGTGAGTCAGTTGCTGCCTTGCTTCCTGCCCCCAGTTGCTAAATTCCTGCCAAATTCCTTCTCCCCCTCTTCTTCGCCCCCTCACTCTCCTCTCCCTGCCATCCTGAATCAGGCTCCTCAAGTAGCCTCAGAAGTCCCCTCAGCCACACAGACTGTCCCTTTGTTCCTCTGAGGAGTCACAGGGGACCTTGCGACACAGGACCAGGGATACCTTGGGACACAAGCTAGACAGAGAAGTCTTGGGATCCAAAAGGTTGTGACCCAGATGTTGCTTCTTTCACCTTCCTATGATGCCTTGTGGTGGCTTCTATGGCCACAAGGTCCTTAGGCATTGTCTTAAAGACAGAACTTGTAGCGGGCTTGAGAAGTGGAGACATGAAGGCCCAGTCTCTCTCCTTTGTCTTTGTCCTCGGGCCAAGTCAATTGCCCAAGAGCCAGGCACGACTCCAGGAGGGGAAAGAAAGGCCAGCGAGCGGCTGAGAGATGGGAAATCTTCCCTATTACTGATGACATCGTCAAGCTCCTTTAAAAGATGATAAAGGGGACCCCAGGACCCCAGTTTGTTCACATTGACAACTGACAAGTTGCTTATGCCCAGTGTCCTCATCCAAAACGTACACACAACCATGCAGTTAGATGCTAGTAGCCTAGTACAAATCACACCTAGACTCCCTTCTTGCACACAAACCGTCTATCAAAGACACCTTGAGACCCTCTGTCTGCTTCAGAGGGAGTGAGAGACAGTCCTGCCAGGGTTTCTCTAACTCTTGGTCTAGGAACACACTCTTTGTTTGCTTCCATCTCCTCTCTAGTGCTTGCCCAGGAACTCTGGGAAGGCCCAGCTAGGCTACGTTGTCCTCTGTAGGGCACAGGATCTGAGTGCTGCTGGCTCTCAGGTTCTTTTGTGTCAAAGGGTTTGATAAGCAGGCCTGGGCCAGGGTTGCAGCCTTTGTGCCCCCTGGGGCAATTCCTTGTGCTACCTCCTCCTGACTTGGCTGTCAGTGGTGACCTGTCCCCTGATGGTGGAGGTCACTGTAAGCATGCTATTGGAAAAGATGCCTATGTTCTATCTTCTACTGACTGACAGGCCTTCTTCTGGGCATAGAGGTTCTTGACTTTCGGGATAGTCATGAGGACTGACTGGGTTTCTAGGTGCCACTGCTTCCTAGAATTTGGAGGCTATGAAGGACTCAGTTTTCTCAAAGTCTTGGAGCACCCTCTAGGGGCAGCAGCTTGCAAGTCCGAACCTATATGCAGTTTCATCAAGCCTAACCCAACCAACTTCCCAGCTCCCTTCCTTCCTGTCTCTCTCTCTCATAAACAAGCACTCTTTTGGACTGGATCTTGCTAGGCCATAGAAACGACAGGCTCAAGTCCTGTCCACACCCCAGCATCACGGTGTGCTTAAGGCCCACACCCTCTATTCATTAATAACTGCACACTGAAGTCTCCGGGTCTGTCCCTATACCCCACCTCTGTCTGAGTAGCAGAATCCTGCTTGTGTTCTAGAACCCCTACCCGTGCTGTTTGCCAGGCTCCTATCTCACCACATTCTGGGGGCTTGGCGAGGACAGACGGAGCCCCCTGACACTGGTGATACTCAGAAACGTTGGGATAGCCTCAACACCCAGGAGAGCAGGACCCTAGAGCTTCTGAAGCGCCAGGAACAGAGGGAGAAGACCCCTGGAGACATTTTTCCCGCTGAGATCTCACAGTTGCCACTGGGGGGGGGGGAGCTCAGATGACTCAGCTGTCATCTTAACTTATCCCCAGGTATGCAGGTCTGGTCAAGCTCCAGAGGTGGCCCTGGTCCTACGTAGATACGATGAGAGGTGGTGAGTCTGGGGGTTGGTGGGAAATGACTCACTGGCCAGGAATCAGGCTGACTCAGAAGGAGGGAGAGTTATGGCTTCTGCTCAAGGCCTTCCTGCGTCTGCCTTGGGGAGAGGGAACATGGATAGAGGGGAAGCAGGAGAGGGTGATGGCTTGGAGCAGAATGGAGCCCCTGCTGCTCAAGGGTCCTGGAGGAATTCTGTTTGCTGTGTGACTGTATGCGCATGGTCATTACACCTCTGTGGGAGTCCTGGAACTCACTCAGGGGCCAAGACCTGCTCAGAAGAAACAAACTGTGCGTGTGTGTGTGTGTGTGTGTGTGTGTGTGTGTGTGTGTGTATTTACACTCATGTTCTAGTGCCTTGGCTACAAAGACATGGGGCCAAAAGGGGGATCTAGTCCTGTTCCTGGGGCAGAATCAAGTGCCCGGCTCTCATTCTCTCCTCTCTCATCTCAAGCGAGTTCATGACTGAGAAGGAGCCGTTCTGGTGAGAGTATAGAATCTTAAGGCACTGGGATTTCAGAGGAGGGGGAGCGGCATGGGGAAGGTCCCAGATACCCTTGACAAATGCTTCCAGTTAGCAGTGGAAATCAAGTCAAGCTAATGGTTTTTCTTGCCCTCATATCCCAGGCTATGCCAGAGAAGACACCATGTAAGGAATGAGAGCGGCTGCCCCCACCTCCATCCCTCCCCGCTGCTCATGACTCACAGGACTGGAATTTTCTTCCCCAGCTCTGGTATTTGCTTGGAGTTGGCGACTGGAGGCTGTAGGTCCTTTGCAGCGCTGTGGTGGAAACCAGAAGGGGGCAGGGAGGATGGGAGGGAGGAAGAATCTGTTAGCTGTGCAGGAGAAGTCTCCTACGGCTTTCTCACCAAAAGCCGGCAGGCAGACACCCAGGATGGACGGAGATGCTGCCTCTTATCACAGTGTACTTCTCTGACCCCGCCCCACTTCTCCCTTGTCCACCCCCTCACTCGCTCTTCATCCAAAACTTATACAGGAGGCTGGGGAGATGGTTCAGCAGATACCCCGAGTTTGATCCCTGAAATACAAATAAAAAACTGGGAGCGGGAGAGATGGCGCTCTACAGGGAAGAGCGCATCAGTTGGTGTCCAGTACTAAAGGGTCAGCCCTGAAAACACATACCAGTGACATCACATAAACTCAATGGGTCATATTTAGGGATATATGTGTATAGATAAATACATATATGCACATTATAACAATTAGTGGGAAAAAAGGCCATGAATTTAAAGGGGAGTGGGGAGGGGGGGTCTACAAGGCTTTGGAGGGAGGAAAGGAAAGGGAGAAGTGGAATTAAATTACAATCTCAAAAAAAAAAATGTGTCTGTAGAGGCATGCATCTATAACCGCAGCACTCTGGTAGACAGGCGACTCAGCGAAATGCTCGCAGCAGCCCAGCTGGTCTGTGGTGTATGTACGGAAGCAATAGGAGAAAGCCTGCCTCAGTAGAGCAGAGAGGAGAAATGACTCCTCAAAGTCAGGCTCCCAGTGGAAGCACGTTTGCAGGGCCCCGTGTGCTTCCCCTCTGCCTGGCTGGGCCTTGAGAACCGGCACTGGCCGTTCTGAACCTGAACAGGCGTGGGATCCAAATGCTTCCCGCTCCCATGCTGGATTCTGATGCACAGGTTCCTGTGTCTCCTTCATAGAGAAAGGAGGGGCATGTGTGCCTGTCTGAGGGGCAGGAGGAGGAACTCAGAGGTATGGGGGAACAAGTCACCCATGGGAGGGGTCTGGGAATGGGAGAGTGGGCAGAGGTTTGAACACGGAGCTCTCTGAATGCAGCACTCGACCAGACACCCTAGCCCGCCCTTAGGAGCTGACCTTCAGCACGGCCAAGCCCAGCCCCGGCCTAGGCTTTCCTTCCTCAGGACGAAATCCTGCAGCTCCTTGGCTTTCTGCTTTAAACTCTGTGGGATGGTGGACATGATGGCGTAGACGCACCACTGGTGCCAATAGGGCACCCAGGTGTAGTTTTGCCATGGCAGGGGCAATAGTGAGGTCATAATATAACAGGAGTCCTGGGTCAGAGGCCTGACTCCTCAGGTTCTGTGACGGTTTGGTTGAGAAATGTCCTCATAGGCTCAGGTGTTTGAACACTTGCTCCCCCGTTAGTGACACTGGAGGAGGTGTGCCATTGAGGTGGTGGGCTTTGAGAATGGGTAGCCTCACTCTACTTCAGTGTACTTCTTGCTTTGTGTTTGCCATTGAAGACGCGAGCGCTCAGCTTCTTGCTCTGGCCGCTGTGCCTGCCGCCTGCCGCCATGCCTGCTGCATGCTGCCATGCCTCCCTGCCGTGCTGGACTCTCATCCCTATAGAACCATAAGCCCAAATAAATCCTTCCTCTTATACATTGCCCTGGCCATGGTGTCTTGCCCCAGACAGGTTCCCACACGTCAAGCTTGCCCCAGAGTAAATGAGCAGAAATCATGGTGAGAATGCAAGAAAGGGTTTTTTAAAACAACATTATTAAGAGGGCAAAAAGCAAGCATTTGAGTCTGTCTTCAAAGCACTGAATGTGTGTTCTGGGTTTAGCAGGTATGGAACAGGGCCAGGAGGCAAGAGGTCAAAGTGGAGGTGTGTTCTGGTTAATCAGTGCTCTGTTCTGGCTCTGTACAGTGATGAGAAGCAGTCCTTAGGGCTCGAGGAGACAAGTCACGTCCTTTGGATGATTGCGGCTGGGAGTGGGGGTGGGCTGTGTGCAATCTCATCTGGGGGTGACCTGCTTGCCAGGCTCTGCTGGTCTGGAATCTCAGAGGTGACTCTAGGTTTAGGACGATTGAAAACTTTTAGGGTCTAGAACAGGACATTATAAAGGCTAAAAGTAAAACCACCACACCAGTATTATCTGTGTGCCTTCATGAAGCCCTGTGTGTGTGTGTGTGTGTGTGTGTGTGTCGGGGGGGGGGAATGAGATAGGGCAAGTGTCACGTGGTTTGACACAGATGCTCCTGGCGTGATTAACATGCAGTGTTCTGGCCAAAGTTTGTACAAGGACAGATGTAAACTCAAATAGAAAAGCCAGATGCTTACCTTGCTCTGTATTACCCCTTGGGCCCAAGTGAGGAGTAACATCTTTTCCTTTTAATTTTGAGATTATAATCACATCTTTTTGACCTTTCCCTCCAGACCCTCCCATATGCCTCTCCTTTCTCATTCTAATTCATGACCTTTTTTTTCATTAATTGCTGTTACATGCATGTATGTAGGTATATATATATATTCCTAAAATATAACCTGCTCTGTGTAATGTTACTCCTATGTGTGCTTTCAGGGCTGACCATTTGGTACTGGACAACCAGTCTGTGTGTTTTTTCCTGGGGAGGCTGTCCCTCCCACTCTCCGCATTCCTCAGTTGACTGTGGGTCTTTGTGTAAGGCTGAGGCCACACGGGCTTGCTCCTGTCCATGTTGGCATGTCTATTGTTGTCCTTGTTTGCTCGTGTTTAGTCAGTCATGTTGGAGACCTTATGGGTGTAGCATCTGACAAGAAGAGGAGACAACCCCACAGCAAACTTCCCTGTCCCCTGGCTCTTTCAAGCTTTCTCAACGCTAGCACCAGAGCTAGCACTTTTTTAGCAAAAAAACTCTCTCCCTCTACTCCCCTCTCTCCTTTCTTTCCCTTCCTTTGTGTCTTGAACCTGACTTACTGTGTATCACTGACTGACCTGGATCTTGCTATATTTACACCAGGCTGACCTCAGGTTAGCAGCAACCCTGCTCCCTCTACTTTCTGAGTGCTGAGTGCTGGGATTACAGCTGTGCACACTCACATCTTAACCGAGTGCTGGGATTACAGCTGTGCACACTCACATCTTAACCGAGTGCTGGGATTACAGCTGTGCACACTCACATCTTAACCAAGTGCTGGGATTACAGCTGTGCACACTCACATTTTAACCAAGTGCTGAGATTACAGGAGTGCACACATATCTAGAAAAGAAATGTCTATGTAGCATTTACAGCAACGATTTATCTAGCAGTGTCCAATACAGCTTGTGATCTGTGTGTACTGATTAACTTTGTTTTTATTTTTTAAATATATGAGTGCATGCATGTATGTCTGTGTACCATGTGCATGCCTGATACCCTCAGAGGCCAGAAGAGTGTCTCAGATTCCTTGCAGCTGGAGTTAAAGGCAGTTTTGAGCCAGTATGTGGGTGTTGGGAACTGAACCTGGGTCCTCTGCAAGAGTAACAAGGGCTCTTAAGTTCTGAGCTACCTCTCCAGCCCCCACTCTGTGTTAATTTTAAAGGAGTGATTTGGCAATCACAGCACCCAACTGTTTAGGGAAAAGGGGTAGAGGGCAAGCATTTGGCCAGATGCTTTTGATCTGATTTTATTGTTACACGCTAACCAGTGTTTCTCCTGTACTACATCTGCTGTCAAATGACTGCTCAGAGATGGGGAACACCAACTTGTTTGGGCTGGAACAACTTGGGGACAGATCGCCCTCCTAAGTCCTATTGGTTTCTGTCCATGAACTCAATGCATTAGATATATCCGCTTAGTTGCTTTGGGCATGCATTGCAGCAACTTCATTCTGGCATGCTAGGAAGCTGTCCTGCTGTGATGCCCACAGCACAGGCATGCTAACCTGCGTCCAAGGGCTTGGGATTCTTTTGCCAAATGCCCACACTCGAGTTTGCTCTAGGACTACAGAGCCTGGCTCTCAGGTGGTAGGGATTTGGGGTTATGTCTTTTATCCAAGATTTATATGAACCAGTGAAACGGGGTTCTTATGCCTTGGATTTTAAGTGTTCCCAAAGGGCTACTGTGTTAAAAGCTTGGTCCTTAGCCTGTGCTGCTGGGGAGCTGTGGAACTTCAGGAGGTGGGGCTGGTGGAAGGAAGTTATGTCCCTCGGCTGTAGCCTTGGAGGAACATGAGGACCCTTGCTCCTTCCGTTTTTTTTTTTTTTTTTTTTTCTTCTGAGATTCTACCAGGCGAGCAGTTTTCTTCACTGCCCCACCACAGGCCCAAAGGCAGCCGGGCCAAGAGACCAGGAACCACAGCAAGCCAGGGTCTAGCCTCCCTGTAAGTCGTCTGTCTCAGGCATTCTATCACAGCAACGGAAGCCGATGAAGACACAGATAATCTAAATGAGTATTTTCCTGAGTTTCCACAGCACAAGGGTTCTAGTCGCTTCACAGCCTCATCTGGGGAAGGTTCTGTGTTGAAGAACTTGGAGAGTGTGGAAGGTTGCTTGGCAAGCCTAGACAGTCCTGGCAATCTCTTGGTAAGCAGTGGTAAAACACATTAACGGAAAAGGGGCCTTAAAGCCAGGATCTTTTTACTCTTGTGCTGTAAAAGGGTAAAACTAGGCACAACCACATAGAAATGATGTCTAGAGAGATGGAGAAAGAGGTTTTTTTCTACCCTTGGGGGCTGTTGTATAGTGATATTTTATTTCTGTTTTAATTAATAAAGTTTGCCTGAACGTCAGAAGGGCAAAAGCTAAGCCACTGGAGGTCAGGCAGTGAGACACACACCTTTAATTCCAGGATTTGGGAGATGGAGGTAGATGGATCTCTGTGAGTTCAAGGTTACCCTGGGCTACACAAGGCCGATGCAGAAACAAATACAGGTGGTGGGGGCTCACACCTTTGATTCCAGTACTAGGGAACCACAGGCCTTTAATTCCAGCACCAGAGGGAATATAAAATAGGAGGAGAGAGAGGCTAAGTCTGCTTAGCTGCTTAGCTGTCTGTTTAGTCTGCAGCCGCCCAGCCTTGGTAGAAGTAAGTGGATCGACTGCTTTGCTTTTCTGGTTTTCAGGTTGAAGCCTGATATTTGTCTCCGGGTTTTTGTTACTTGTGCTACTGTTGTGGTTATGGCTGTATAGACCAGGAGGCTTGAAAACAGTATCTGGCTCTTACCCATCCTCCTCTGAATCCCCCGGGAGGCAGTGATACAGGCGAGCATCCACTAGTGGGGTTAGTCCTGCACTATTTGGGGAAGTGATGGGCTCACTTCATCACCACGATGCATGGCAGTGCAAACTATCCGAAAGAGGAAAGATTCATTGGGCATCAGGGTCTTAGAGGGTTCAGTCCGTAGCTAGCTGGGTCCCTTGCTGTGGGCTTCTGGCAAGGCAGAGCATCACATAGTGCAGCGAACTGTCCCACTGGGAAGCAGAGAGAGGAGGAGGGGGAATCTGGGGGCAGCATGTATGTGCCTTTGAAAGACACATCTGCAGTGATCTACTTGTTCCAACTAGGCCCCATGCTCTCGTGGCCTCATTGATAAGTTAATCCACTGAAGTTAGCGCCATTCAGGGTCCCATTAACTGTCAATAGCCTCCAACACACGGGCATTTGGTGGGGGTTGGGGACGGGACACGTCCTATCTAAGCTGCAGCATCTATGTAAGAGATGTTATGCTTGTATTGGGGCTTATCTGTCAATCACCATCATGACTACTGACGACTGAGTTAGAACGGGGACGGGAGTCATGATCAACCCGTGTTTCCTATCTATTCAGTAATTCACTGTAGAATAAAATCAGGCTGTCAAGATCAAACCTCTCTAGTTTCTGAGGGCCAACCCATCTTCACAGAGTCAGGTATTGGCATGCCCTTCCCTGTCAGCACAGGGTACCTAAAGCAAGCCAGACATAGGCAGCCATGTTAAGGACATGACTCAGGACATCTCTCAACATCATTTATTTGACATAAGCCAGAAGTTTTCTGTAGAGTTAAGCATTGCGCTGGTTAGGGTTTTTGCCAACTTGACAGGAACCTAGACAGATCTGGAAAGAGGCAATCCCCTCCCTCACACTGGCCTGTGGGCTTCTCTGTGGAGGTATTTTCTTAATTGTTAATTGATGCAGGAGGGCCAGCCTGCAGTGGGTGGTGCTACCCTTAGGCAGGTGGCTGGGCTGGATAGGAAAGACAGCTAAGGAAGCCAGAGGAAGCAGGCCAGCAAGCAACATTCCTCATGGCCTCTGCTCGAGCTCCTGCCTTGAGTCTTCGCCTTGGCTCCCGTTGACTTTGGACTAGAACCTATAAGACGGGCAGACCCTTTCCTCCCCACGCTGGTTTCGGTCGGTGTTTTATCATGTCTGCAGACATGCAAACTTGGACAAGTGTTGAGGAGAGGCCTGTCAGCGCACACCTACAAACCAATGTGTTTTTTCTCTTTGACTGTGAGAACGTCTCTGGGTTTTCATCTAAACTGGCGAAACCATTTCCTTCTAAACAGCTCTAAGCTGGCTGTTGAGAACTATGGCCTCGTTCTCTAGAGTCTTCATCTCCTAAACTGGTTTTGTTATTCTTGATCCAGAGTTTCATTTTTCATACAGACAGACACATAACTCTGATTTACAGCTTCCGGACAGGGGCTGACAGTCCCACTGAGGAGAGAGGAGGCGAGGAGGAAAGGGTAGATGGCAGGCAGCCTCCCTCTATCAGGGTTCGCTCAGGATTAGGGAGTTCTTGTTTCTGGAGATAGGGTCTTACCCTGTAGCCCAGGCTGGTCTGGCTGCAGACTTGTAGCTATCTTCTTGCTTAACCCGCTGAGTTCTGGGATTACAGGCACTAACCACACACCGTGCCTCTCTGCTTTCTAGTTCCTAAAGGCCCACATTAAAGATTAAGCTCAGAGTTTCCGAGGTTTGGAAATGTCTATACAAGTTGCTGTATTTGTTTGTTTTGGCCCAGCTCTTCCCATGCCTGGTCTTCTGGGAAATCCCCACTCTGGTGAGAGGATCAGCTGACACTCTACTCTTGGCCACAAGAGGGCAATGCAGGACAGGTTGACTGCCATTGCTCTGGCGCTATTTAAGGTTGGTCCTTCAGGTTGCAGACTTCCATGACCCTGTTCCTCCCCAGGCCTTGCCAGGGTCCCCAGAAAGTCAGAGGATGTCCTGATTTGCTTCCACGCTGCTGTTGACTGAGTCAAGAGCTGGGTTACTAAAAGCAATTTTTTTTTTTTGTTTTTGTTTTCGAGACAGGGCTTCTCTGTAGCTTTTGGAGTCTGTCCTGGAACTAGCTCTTGTAGACCAGGCTGGCCTCGAACTCACAGAGATCCGCCTGCCTCTGCCTCCCAAGTGCTGGGATTAAAGGCTTGTGCCACCACTACCCGGCTAAAAGCAAGTTTTTAGCTGACTTGAGCTTAGGGAGTGGAAATCCCAGCCCTGGCCACACTGACTGAGCTGCTCCACAGAACGAGCTGCATGGTACTCGCCTCACAAATCAACCTAGCAATAGAAAGGAGTCAGTATGAAGAAGGTCCCAGGAGAAAAAGCACCTCATTACTGTGTAGGTCAAATTTGGGTGCAGCCCATCGACCCCCTTACACACCAACCAGTAAAATCTCCTGTGCCACACTGAGAGATACATACACTCAGGGGGTCCTAGGAGACTTAGTTACCTAGGGCTGCATAGCAACCAGTTCCCTGCTCCTTCTCTCAAACACTATGGGATGTTGGAGGGGCCCCTGAGACACAAGGAGGCTGTCCAGGCAAAGGAGACCTAGATTTCCTCATCTATGACAGCCAATGACACCCAATAGTTGCCAAGAACTATCAGATGCCATTCTACTTGTTGACTCTAAAGCTTCTGGAGGAGTCTAGCTTGGATAGTGGTCCTGCTGTATATACCAGGCCCCGCCCCCCTCTCTGTGCTCCCAGGTGAAGCCCAGTGGATCCTTTACTCACCAGGCAGAGCTAGTGGCTCCTCGTGGTATAGCAGAGAGGCTGATTTAGTCAGGGGCTCCCGCAGGGAAAAGTGCCGGGCCGGGGGCTTTGAAGGAGGTGGAGATGCTGGAAGCTGGGGCCTTTCTTCGCAGGCCTTTGCACAGGGCACTCTGATGCCACCATAGTCAGATTCTGTATCAGAGCTGGAAGAAGGAAGAAGAGGGTGAGCCGGCAGCTCTAGAACCCCACGTCACCCCTACACTCCATGGTCTTCTCACCACCCCCTGACAGTCCTCAGGGACCAGGAGCAAGGGCTGCAACTCAGCTACCTCTGTGTCTGGGCCCAGACTTAGCTCTGTTGTGTCCTGGGTTGTGTTTCCTTAGATTCCTGTGTTAAAGGGGAGGCTCCCAACCCCTCAGCATGTGACTGTCTTTAGAGAGAGGACCATTAAAGAGGTGATTAAGTAAAATGAGGTAATTATGGTGGCCCCTAATCCTATGATTGGTGCCCTTATAGGAAGAAACCGGGATATAAGTGTGCATAGAAGGTTGCTGCCATTGCAAACAGGAAGGTGCCATCCACAGGCCAGAGAGAGACTTGAGATAGACCTTTCCCTCTGAGTTCCCAGGAGAATTCTCTGCCACCCTTTCACCTCATACTTGTCAAGTGACAGTGTCCTCTGATACTGAAGTATTCCATCCTGCAGGGAATTTCCTTAAGCAGAAAAGCAAACAACTCAAAATGCTTCAGGAAGTCCCTGAGTCAGAGTAGATTCACTAAGTCCTGCCCCACCAGAGTAAGCAATAAAAGCTGAAGTCCCCCTCGGATGAGAGAGAGCTGAACAGCCAAGGAGACTCAGAGAAGCTGGCACAAAGAGGACTCTGAGAGCAGACTACCTGAAAGAAACCGAAACCAGCCGAGCCACTCAGAAGAGGTTCGGAACAACCGTGGCACTGAAAAGGACACTCTTCCACCTGCTGAGCTGCCTGCAGGCTGTGCAGTGTGCTCTAGGTTCCCAGCTTTGAGAGCTGTCACCCATGCTGGGGTGGGCTTTGTTGGTGCAGCTGTCTTTGAGTCATTTCTGCCCCTTATAAGTCACCCCTTACCCATATTTCTGTAGGCAGCCCCGAGAAAACTCATGGTTCACCCAGGTGGACTTTGGTGGTATCTGTCTGTACTTTGGTCTGTTGTGGGTTCCCAGGCTAGGGTGAATAGATATGTGTGTGTTGCCTCTCCCCAGAAGAAATTTTGTCCTATATCATACTCCAGTCTCCAGTGTGTGAGAAGACGCTTTCATGAGGCTCCCAGGCTTTGGCACTGTCCTGACAGTCCCGGATACTGCTACAGCCTTGGACAGAACGGGGCAAGGTCCCCTCCCAGGCTTCCTGAGCCACTCCAGTGAAGGCTCAGTCTCCATCCCCCTAGGCTATGACTGTAGGGCCAAGAGTGTGCCCAGCTTGTACAGAGCCCTGGGTTCAGACCCAGCTCCTCCCAAACTGGATGTGGTGGTATACACCTGTAACTCCAGCACTTTGGAGGTAGAGACAGGGGTGGTGGGTGGTGGAGGGGATCAAGATCTTAAGACCAGCCTCAGCTGCATAGTGAGTTCAAGGTTACCCTAGGCTGCATGAAACTGCCTCAAATCAAATCAAACCAAAGCCACAAATAGCAACAAAGACCAACAAGAGTGTGGTTGCTAAGTTCTTCGGGTCAAATAAGTTCATCTCCAGGGATCTAGTTCCTACACCACAGCATGGACATATGGCACTCCTCCATCAGTGTGGCTGTGTAGATGGGCAGATGGAAGGAAAGACTGCAGGGATTCAAGTAGTAGGGAAGGGGGCTTCACAGAAACCGTGGCCTTTGCCCAGCTTCAGACTCAGCATCAGCACAGAGACACAGCCCAGTCAGACCTAACAGGTTCAACACAGAGCACTCTGCTTTCCCACAACCTGTCTTCCGCACCCTCAGATGCCTCTAGAATATTCTTACCATCCCTTCAGTAATTCAAGACTGGGGAGAAGACCTTGAGTTTTTTCTTCCTCTCATGCTTAGTCTTCAGCAAACCCATCACCATGGCTCTGACCTGTGTTCCCCAAGGGTCCCAGGTTCCAACCAAGTCTCCCCCTGCCTTCAGTCTCCCCAATCCTGTCTCCTCTGCCCTCCACACCAAAGTCTGTAGTTATCTAAAAACTGTTAACGAGGTGCCATTTAGAATTTAACTCTCTTTCAATTATTCCAGAATAAAATACCAATTCCTACATATCTAATCAACCAACCTCTCTCCATACCTCTCTCCCTGTCTCCCTCCCTTCTTTCTTCATCCCTGGTGCTGGGGATTGAACTCAAGCCTGGTCCACGCTGGCTGGGTGCTCTACCACTGAACTACACCCCAGCTCCCCAGTATAATCCCCCCTCATCCACTATTGACTGCTGGTCACACAGACCCTTCCATTCTGTTTGTATGCCATTCCCACTACTTTATCTGACAGCCAGCCAGATCAACACCCCATCTGGGTGAGGCCAGCATGACCCGCACTGTCTCATAGAGGCCCCGAAGCTTCTGGTTCACACATGGTAGGAGAGTAACCCACTTGCTCTGGGGCTACTATGTCAAACTGTCACTGTAGTACCCAGAGCCTTTCCTGGCCATCCAGTCAAAGGTAACCATCCTGGCCCTGTTTACAGCACAGCTCTATTTTATTTCTCTGCCTGGCGCGCACACACACGGTGTTTTTCTTGTTTAATATTTCCTTGTTTCCCTGGCTGTCTACCTAGGTGATGGAGATATCTGATAGCAAAGACCTCACCCAGCGTATGAGTCACAGTTACACACTCAGAGTCTAGGCATCCATAAGCAGTAGATCCGGATGCTTTCCTGAGTGAACTCAGTGTCTATGGGGGCTGCGCTTCTCATAACCGCAGTCGGTGTGGATCAGATGCTGTGTGCGTAAGAACGGTGTTCTCCTCTTTGCCCATCCTGGCATCTCCATCACCATGTAGGTTCCCAGGAGCCTCTCCCTGTGACAGTGTCACTCATTTGTAGCCCTCAGCTGTGTGACATGGACTCCTTTGGGGGGGGGACAGGAGAGCCAGGGCTCTAAGAAGATAATGGCCACACAGCCTCATAGGATTTGCTAGGCACCAAGCAATATTTGGCACGTGTCAATTCTTTGAGTCTTACGGCTCCTTCAGAAGCAAGCCACTATAGCCGTCCCCATTTGCAAGTTAGGAAACAGGCCCAGAGAGTTCCTTTTGCTGGGAGTTTCCAGTGGAAAGGAAAACAGACCTCAGGTGCAGCCTACCCCACCATCCCCTTGTCACTGCCTCCATCCTTCAGCAATTTGGGCATACCTGCTGTCCTCACTGGTGACCAGGACCCGCACGGCCAGCACATCCTGTCCGACTGCATCCTCTCCCGGACCGATCCTCACTGAAGTCCATTCGGAGGGTTGGGAAGAGGTGACTTCAGCGTCCGTGTCTCTGGGTGTGGGCTCAGGGACACTCTTTGGCTTCTTGGGGGAGATGGGCTCATCTGCTGAGAGAACAGGGCCTATAGAGACAGAGGAACAATGGCTCCTCCAGGCTTCTGGATAGGATGCTGGAAAGGGGGCCTCTGGGCCACTCAGATGTTCAGGGACAGACCTTCCCATCCTCTGCGTCATGGCCAGGGCCACCTCTCAGCCCAGCGGATGTGTGTAAGGCACGAATACACATACCACCCCATTTAATCTCGGGGGAGGTGCTGAGATGTTCTCAGGGCCCATGACAGGCTCACTGTCCTCTGGACCGCTTCGTTCAAACTTTCTGTCAGCGTACTGTTAAACTCAGGGGTGACATCTTAGATCTCATCTTTAAAAACTGTTTTCACCAGGCATGGTGGTACACCCCTTTAGCCCCAGCACTTAGGAGGCAGAGTCAGGAGGATCTCTGTGAGTTTAAGGCCAGCCTGGTCTACCCAATGAGCTCCAGGCCAGCCAGAGCTACACAATAAGACCCTGCCTCAAAACATAAAGCAAACCGCATCAAAGAATGTTTCTGTATTTTCGTGTGTGTGTGTGGTGTATACATACACATGTATGTGTACATAGCTTTACGTGTGTATGAAAGCGCATGCATGGGTGCATGTGTATGTGTGTACCTGTGCATATGGAGGCCCAAGGTTGCGATCTAGAATCATCCTTGATTGCTCTCCCACCTTGCTCATATAGACAGGATGTCACAGTCAAACCCAGAGCTCAGAGATATGGTGAGTTTTGCTAACTCTGGAAATCCTCTACCCCCATCTTCTGAGGCTGTAATTACAGAGGGGCCGCCGTTCCTACCTGGCATTTCTGGGGATCTGAACTCATGTGCTCATGATTGGAGGGCAAGCGCTTTAACCCGAGTCATCTCCACAGCCCTTCAGTTCTCATCCTATTGACCTCGTGACCTAGCCTGTCACGCTCTTCCACAAAGGCTGCTCTCAGCTCTAGATGGCTCTTCCCAGCTGCTTCTTCTTTTGCACAGTCTTATTTTTACTCAGCTTTTAGTCGCACCTGCTTCCTTCCATGATTCCCAATGACCCTGGACAGTGAGGAGTCCCAGGTCTGCACCCATAGCCTAGACGCTTCCTCTGCGTCTAGCGTCTCCTGTTCTTACTTGACATCTCCACTTAGGTGTTTAGCAGACACAACACATGCAACAAGTCCAAAGTGAACCCTTCATCTTCACTTTCCCCAACACCTGCTCCACCCACCATCATGCCCAGTTCAGTGTGGCAACTAGAACCTCCTGAAGTTAACGTTGGCATCATAATGACATACTTGATATTACCTTCATCCTTCACAAAGCCCTCCCTCTACAAGTGAGGATGGCTCTTCCCTCAATTGTGCCAGGAATGGAGTCTCTTCCCTTCCACAGCCCCATCACCTCTTGTTCAGATGGTAAACAAACAAACAAACACCCCACAACTCTCCGTGGTTCCCCAATTCTTTCCTTCCAAGCCCCACCCCTGGATTTCAACATCAACCAGAATTAACTGTGAGGGTCCTCATTTCATCGAGGTAAAGACGAAGAGTCCCATCTAATCCAGCTCTGTGGCCTCTGTGACTTTATCTCTCTCTTTTTTTAAAGATTTATTTATTATGTACAGTGTTCAGACTCCATGTATGACTGCAGGCCAGAAGAGGGCACCAGATCTCATTACAGATGATTGTGAGCCACGGTGTGGTTGCTGGGAACTGAACTCAGGACCTCCTGAAGAGCAGCCAGTGCTCTTAAACTCTGAGCCATCTCTCCAGCCTCAACTTTTTCCTCTTCACACTGTCCCTTGACTTGCTCCTCTCCTGCTGTGTCACCGCTGTGCTGTCCCCTCAGGACTTAGGCAGGCACCATCTCAGGCCCCTTGTGTTGCCCTCGAATCTACCATTCAGTGCTGTCCCTGGATGCTCCCACCACTGCCTGCAAGCGTTGGTCAAATGTCGTCTTCTCAGGATTGAAGTGTCCTGCTGAAGAGGCCACACACTCTGTTCCCCTTCATTATACTAGTGAGTCTTGTCTTCTAATGAGAGTGGAATTCCCTCTTTGGTTTGTTGACTCTAGGACTAGGATGTGGGCAGTACTTTGTTGTTAGACTCTGCCTTGTATAGCAGGTGCTCCTGGGATGCCTGTTGAGTGTGATGAATGCCTGAGCCCGGCTCCAGCCTGGCCACTAGCTAGGTGGCAAGCCGTTTCCTGTCACAGGGAAGCAGCTGCCTGTGTTCCTTCTAGAATTAGACCTCAGGTGAACTTGTTTCCCCTCTCATTTCCCAGCCCCTCACTGTCTTCTCTCTTTCCTGTGTTCTTGACTTCAACTGGATTGGTTCCATCTGTGCTTAAACTATAGGAGGCTCCGTCTCCAGGCCATTCACTACCCTCTCTTTTTGAACCAGTCTTGGAAGAGCTGGGCAAGCTTTCTCTGTCCCTTCACCAATCCCCTACAATTCTGATGAGACCTTTACCTCTCTACTCTCTTACTTCTAGAAAATTCCCCGGAGCCTGCTTGCTGCTGAGCCCAGTTCACAGGATATTTCCCCCCTGAGGTTCTCCTCTGGTCCTTGAGTCCCACCCTTCTTCATTCTGAGCGACTTTCTTTCCCTCTCTCTGCATCTCTGCCTTTAAATGTTCTATTCTTCACGTGTCCACCCAAACCTCCTCTTCTCACTCTGCACTCCCTGGAAGAGGCATCTGCTTAGCTGCACTTCCCACCTGCAAAGACAATTCAAGAAGCCTGAGCTTTCTGTGAAATTCCTGAAGTTTTAAAATACGATAGGGTCCAATAAAATGTGAACACATGTAGACCCAACCAGTGGGCTATCAGTCTAACTCCCGACGAACGTGCAGACTTGCTTGCATGCACACGTGCCTATGCTTTAATGCCAGCGCAACTGGGAAGGGAGGCATCTGGGGACTATTACCGGCCGCTTTGCTAATGATGATGGGAGTGATGGTTGTGGTGATGGTGGTGATAAAGTGGCCGTGGGTTTGGTGGTAATGATGGTAGTTGTGGTAATGGTAGTTCTGGTTTGGGTGGTGGTTGTGGTGATAGTTATGATGATGGTGTTAGCTATGGTGATGGCAGTGGTGGTGTTGCTTTTGCTGGTGTTTGTAGTGATGGTTATAATAAGAGCAGTGGCAGCTTACATTCATCGGGCCCCTAATATATCCCAGGGATAGTTTGAGCGCTGACTTGTACTAAGTCTGTAACACTCACATAATCCTTCAAGCAAAGGATTTTGTGACCCCATTTTCTTTCTGAGCTAATGGAAACATAGGTTAAGACACCCACAGATGGTCATGTGTTGCCCTTCTGTATGTCTGAGAACATGACAGAACTATTTGTTTGGTTGGCCTGTCCTTGACGTTGTGGTCCTTCCAAGCTTAGCAGAGCACACACACCCCTGCCCCAGCAATGCATAGACCAATGGATGTTGGTGACTCGTATGAGCCAGGGCTTTGAGTGGCCTTGTTGGGTTGAATTGTCACCCATGTTCTTGTTGAAAAAGTTTGTTTCTGATGGTTGTTTCCCTGTGAGCCTGGATTCTTGGTTGAGGTTACATGGAGGGACAGACTTGGAGCCCATCCTTAAACACTCAGCCTGTAGAATCACTCAGCACCCCTTAGATTCATGAATAGGAAGCAGAAGAGACCACACCCACCACTGAGATTGAGAACTTTGTTCAGGGTCCTAATTACTAGAGTCTCTTCTGGTCTGGGGCTTGAAGAAATTCATCTTTCCACCCCTGCTCCCGTGGGCAAAAGCTGAGAACGAAATGTGTTCAGGGAACATCAGGATACAACTGAGGCTACAGGACCCCAGCCAGAGCTCAGCAGAGGGAGGTCATGGCAGGCAAGGGGGCATGGTGGTGCTGGCTAAAGCGAAAGGCCTGCCTTACCAGATCCTAGAAGCCAAGGTCACTATTGTGATATTAAGGGAGGGGGGTCTCAGGAGTAATACCCTGGCTCCTCTCGATCCCATCCCATCCTTCCACCAGTGCACGCTGGTCTCAAACCTAACAGGAAACTAGTTCAAGGCCCCCTGGAGAAGAGTTTGCAGGGTTGCTCCTCTGTAGCACGACGCAGAGCAGGGATGCCAAGCACACAGGCAGCACAGACAGGCAGATGCCTATAATGCTGTGCCCAGAGTGGCCTCCCCAGCCTCCTGAAAGGTGGACTGTGATCAGTGATGGGGCGATGAGGCATCCAGCGGATGACAGAGAGCTTGAGCAGCACCCCTTCCTTCCACACATTCCCAGGGGTGTTATAATTGCTTTGGGAGGAAGATTTGTCCCTGACAGTGTCAAGGTCCTCAGCAGGACGTGTGCTCAAATCCACTGCTGCTAGCCCAGGGGCTTCTGAGAGTGAGTCATCACAGTTTCTAATGGAAGTAGAGTATCGCGGGGTGTTCAGAGATGAATCCATGGATAGGTAGTCTTGGGGTGTCTGGGTCTGTCCTCCACTCTGAAGACTGGTCAGCCTGTGTGTGCACGTGTGTGTGTGTGTGTGTGTGTGTGTGTGTGTGTGTGTAGGGTATGAATACCCAGCTCTACCTCTGCTGAATGAAACCAGGGTAGAGAGTGTTACTTAGAAGGCTCTGTCTGGCCTCAGCTAAAGCCTAAGCAAAGAGATAGACATTTTCAGCTAAATGCACATAAAAAGAAGCTATACCCTCCCAGATGGAAGCCACACCTCTGCCTAGAGAGGAAGGAAACCAGGCCCAGCCTGATCCTGTGGGCCTCAGAGCAGTTTACCCATTCCCATTTCTGATCCTTCATCCTGACCCTAAATCTTGAGCCAGATACTAGGGAAATGCCAGCCCCACATGGCTCCTGAGAACAGATACCAGCTCCCAGAGCACGAAGCAGGGTGGGGATGGAGGTGGGGGGTAGAGAAGTGAGGAGGGTGGAGGGGGTGAGGTAGGTCGTGGTGTGGTTCACTAGATGTCTGTTTTTCTTCCTAATGTAGTCACATTTCTCTGTTACTCATCTGTTTAATTGGCCTATTGAGGACAATTGG